TTTAATAATTATACTTTTGTATTTTTTCCTTTTTTAAACATTCTTTGATTTATTTTGTTCTACTTTTGTATCTTAGTAAGTTGGGAGCTTATTGTATTAAGTTTTTAGTTGTCTTCTAATATAAGCTGACTATATTGCTTATATATATTCTTAAAATTTTCACATACAGTATTTTCATTATTGCTTGACTCAAAATATTTCCTAATATTTATTAAGATTTCTTCTTTGACCAGTGAATTATTTAGAAGTCTGTTTCTTAATTTTTAAATTTTTCATTTTTTTAAAATCTAGATATTAGTTAACCAACTAGTTAGATAACTAGATACTTAATTTTATTGTGACCAGTATTTGTGGTCTGTATACCAATTTTTTGAAATTTATTACAGCTTGCTTCATGTCAAGTGATGGCATGTTATCACTTGTCATAAAAATTCTTGGTGTTATTATAAAAAATATGCATTCTTCACCAGTTGAGTGTAATGTTCTATGATCATTAGATTAGATCAGCGTGTTCATTTTGTTGTTTAAAGTTTCGTTTGCTTGCTAATATTTTTGCTTGCTTGACATGTCAGTAACTGAGAGGTGTATTTTAACATCTTCCATTATGATGTTGGACATTTCTTACTTTCTTACAGTTCTGTCAATTTTTGCATTAATAATTTTGAGGCTATGTTAATAAATATATCCAAGTTTAGAATTATTATATTTCTGATGAATTGTGCTTTTTGTTATTTTGTTGCAAAGTCCATCCATAATCCATAACTCTATGAGCTTTTTTTCATTAACATTTTGTCTTATATGGCTTTCCCATCCCTGTACTTTCCATCATTGATAATCATTTATGTTTTAGATATATTTTTTGTACATACCATGTTAAATTTCATTTGTTGATTCAACCTGACAGTCTTTTTTCTTTTATCTGGATTGTTTAGTCCATTTATGTTTATTTTTAAGTACTGATATAGTTTTAATTCTAACATCTTACATTCCATTTATTTCACCTTTCTTTCCTACTTTAGGGATATTTATAGTTTTTGTTTGTCTAAATTGTCTTTATTTTTTCCCTTGTTCTGTGAAGATACTTCACTGGGTATGTAATTCTAACTTTATATAGTTATTTTTCTGTCTATACACTGAAGTGCACATTGGCTTCTCCTGCTATGGAAGGAGGTGGTAGTCAGTCTAAACATTCTTCTTTTGAAGGTAATGTATATTTTCTCTTTGATGGCTGTTAAGATCTTTTCTTTGTTTTTAGTCATATGTAGTTTTGGTGTCTATTTGTAGATTTGTTTTTAGTTACCCTGCTTGAGATGCCTTGAAATTTCTAATCTGACAAGTAAAATCTTTATAAATTCTGGGGAATTTTCAACCAGTATTTTTTTCAAATATTGCCCCTCTACCATTTTCTTTCTCCTCTCCTTAGGAACTCAGATTAGGTATCTATGAGACTGTCTCACGCTGCCCTCCATGTGTCTCAATCTCTCTTTCATATTTTCATCTTTTTGTCTATGTTATCCATTCAATTTTGTATTTACAGTAGTATATTTTTTCTTCTCTGGAAGTTTATTTAATTCTTTTTCAATTCTACATGCTCCTTTTTCATATTTTTAATTTCTTTTCTTATTTCCTTAAACAGATTAAACATAATTGTGCTTTTTGCTCAACAATTCTAGTGTCTGAAAATTCTTCGCAGATCTCATTCTGCCTTTTCACCCCACCCACTCACACACTTTGCTGGTTCTTGTTCATGGTAACTTGATTTCTTATGCATTTTGTGATTTATTTATTTATTATGTGCACATCAACTTAGGAACATTCTGTCTGAGGAGGCTGGTTTGAAGGTATCTTCCTTCCAGAAAGGATTACTGGCCGGGCGTGGTGGCTCACTCCTGTAATCCTAACACTTTGGGAGGCAGAGGCAGGCGGATGGATCACTTGAGGTCAGGAATTAGAGACCAGCCCGGCCAACATGGTGAAACCTGTTTCTACTAAAAATACAAAAAAAAATTTGCCAGGGATGGTGGCAGGAGCCTGCAGTCCCAGCTACTTGGGAGGCTAAGGCATGAGAATCACTTGAGCCCAGAAGGTGGAGATTGCAGTCAGCTGGGATTGCATCACTGCACTCCAGCCTGGACAACAAAGCAAGACTCTGTCTCAAAAAAAAAAAGAAAAAAGTTATTATTATAGTATTTGCTTTTCCTGGATGCCTGAGGCTACTAACCTGGAAATACTTAAACTAGTCTCAACTTGGAGGTTTTTCAGACCACACAAGTAGTTTTAGCTGCACACCCCTTGTGAGACAATTTGTGGTTATTAATTCTCAGGAGATATTTTTTCCTCTACTCTTCACACAATCCTAAGTTAGACAATTTTCTTTGCTATCTCCAGCTAGGGGGTGGAGGTTATTTCTAACTTACCCTTTAAGCCTTTTAGGAATTCTCACTTTATGCATCAGCTCTTCTGTTCCCCATCTTCAGTTGGCCCTAGGTTCTTTATCATTTGCCTTCTTCATAAGAGGTTTGGAAAACTCAAGAGTCTGGTTTATTCAGAATCTTGAGAGTGAAAATCAGCTTGTGTCCTCTGTTTACTCTTTTGGGGTTGCAGCTTTCACTCCGCCTCTGATGATTCTTTACTTTGTTGCTCACCCTGTGATGTATTTTAAATAATGTTATTACATTTCACAAATATTTTAATTTTGTTTCCATAGTAGTTTAAAGTATCTAAACCACCATACTATAGGAACTGGCATTGTATAGCAAACTTTTATAAATTTGGCTTTGCTTTTTATTTTTGGTTGGTTTATAAAAAAATTAATTTTTTCTTCTTTTTTAGTATTTTAATGTTTTTCTGTGTTTGGGGTGAGGGTCATAGATACCAGTCCAATTTTAATATTCTGTGTTTAGTATAGACTGTTATGGAATGATTCGTGGTGCTTCTGTTGATATAACCAACAAATACTTGTTGAATGTCTGCTTTATACCAGGTACTATTCTAGGAATGGGGTTATAGAAGTGAACATAATAGATAAAAATCCCTGCCCCCTCAGGGAGCTTGGATTCTAGTATGGAAGACATGGGCATGTAGTACATTAGACAGTGATAACACTAAGGAGAAATAAAGCAGGGAAGGGGACCTTGCTTCTTTGAAGAGAATAGCTCAAGAATAGGCAGAAAGGGTGACATTTTTAAAGAAAAGAGGATATGAGCGATGAACACTCCAGAAAAAGGACCTAAATGCTTTACAAATACCTAAGAGAGTAAGGAATGAAAAGTTTTATATTTATACTATTGCAAGCATTGATGTTTATTCTTTCTTCTCTCTTAAATCTCAATTTTTCTTTTTCTACTTGTTTAGTTTTCCTGGCAGGAGAACTGACTTTATCATCTTGGGCAAGTTTCTTAATGTCGTTGAGTTAAAATAAGACTACTGCCTATCTCTCGGGATAGACGGATGAAACAAGACATTTGTAAAATACCTGACATTTGATAGGTACTCAATACATGGTAGTTTCTCTTGTTTTCATTCTTCCTGTCTTATCTAGGCTATTTTCAGCACTTGTTTCAGTACCTGTTGGTACATTTGCAATGATATGATTCTTTTTTTGTTTTTATTTTTTATTTTTTGCAATAGTTTCTCTCTTGTTGCCCAGGCTGGAGTGCAATGGCGCAATCTCACTGCAACGCCCACCTCCCGGGTTCAAGCGATTCTTGTGCGTCACCCTCCCAAGTAGCCGGGATTATAGGCACCCGTCACTATGCCCAGCTAATTTTTGTATTTTTTTTAGTAGAGACGGTGTTTCGCCATGTTGGCAGGCTGGTCTTGAACTCCTGACCTCAGGTGATCCACCCGCCTCGGCTTTCCAAAGTGCTGGGATTACAGGTGTGAGCCACCGTGCCTGGCCATAATGATATGATTTTTATGCAGCACCGTGGAGACAGCGTGTGATAGGAAATTAACTAAAGACAAATTAGGAGAATTTGAAAGTTTCAAATTTGAAAGATTTTTAAAAACCTTTCTTAAGTAGTTTATAAAGTCTGATTTGGTTCTCAAGGCTAAGGGGATAAAACCGAGCTTTGTCCATTTTCCCCTTAAAGGTATTTTTCATTGTATTGCATGCAGGTTGGCAGCCTCAGCAAATTTCCATTTGTATACGTGACAGCAGAATCTCCAGTTACAATCAACTCAAAGCAAGCAGGGGCATGCCACATACATGTTCATATATAGTTATGTGTCTCCTCTTTATCCTTTAACCTTAACTGGCTCTAATGTTTCAGTGTGAATTGGTGAGTTTTTTTGCGCCACTACAAATGGAGGAAATGTAACAGTAAGGGTGAAACTGCAAGATTCCTGTAGTTTTGGCTTGAAAGAAGCTGAAATGTAAATTAAGAAGTAAAATTAGACCCTGAAGTAACTTGTGTTCCTTTGGTGAGATTTTCTTTGATTGGAGAGTCCTGGGACCTTACTTTTCTGTCTTTCCTTTTTTTTTTTTTTTTTTTCAAGACGGAGTCTCGCTCTGCCGCCCAGGCTGGAGTGCAGTAGGGTGATCTCGGCTCACTGCAAGCTCCACCTCCCGGGTTCACGCCATTCTCCTGCCTCAGCCTCCCGAGTAGCTGGACTACAGGCGCCCGCCACCACGCCCGGCTAATATTTTGTATTTTTAGTAGAGATGGGGTTTCACCGTGTTAGACAGGATAATCTTGATCTCCTGACCGCTTGATCCACCCACCTCAGCCTCCAAAGTGCTGGGATTACAGGCGTGAGCCGCCGCGCTCAACTGGGACCTTACTTTTCATACTTGTTTTGATACTGATTCACCATGGGGTCTCAGTCAATCAGTTTTCTCTGTCTGTGTCATGAGTGATACTCTCCATACAAGGCTTCCTTGCCTTGTATGACTGTTGAGATTTCATAGGATGTGAGCCACGTCAAAGTAAGATAAGCACTAAAGACAAAGTACAACTATTTATACTGTATGCTTTTGGTTTTTGGTCTCTCCCCAGCCCTACCATTGACCATACCCTGCTGGACATGCCCTTCCTTTGACTCCCTGGGGAGATGCCCTCTGACTTCTGAGAGCAGCTGGACCACCCATTCTGAAGACACCAGCAGTCCTAGCTTTGGATGTTCGTATACAGACCTGCAGCTCATCAATGCTGAGGAGCAGACGAGTGGTCAGGCTTCTGGGGCTGACTCGACTGGTAAGATGGAGCTCTAAGCCAGAGGGCTTTGCAAATCACTGTTGGTGTACCCAAGCCCACTTTTAAAGTCCTTTAAAAAATCACTGCAGCTGGCTTCCTTTGCAGAATGAGTTCAGGTGTTGTTATCCAGTCAAAAAACTAGAACCCAAAGTGGCTAGAAATTGCATTGGGGAAGATGTATACACAAATTGGATCCTTGGTTGGCAGATCATTCATACTGGGTAACATTTGACAGTGTATCTTAATATGTTGTTTTCTGACTGTTTGGTATAAATACCAATTTATTTTCTCCTGGGATTACTGAACTATGTGTAAATATGCACAAGGCTGAATCTTTCATCCTACTACCCACGCATCTTGCGTTTTCAATAAGAGGGAGGTAGATTTAAGCAGAAAAAAGCAAATGTTATGTGAAACAGAATGAGAATGAAGACTCAGCCACTGTGTCCAGACTACAAATCATTTTGTAGTTAAGTGTTTATTCTCTTGTACCTTGGTTGGGTGATACGTCAATCGGCAATGCACTATACCTCATTTATTAAACTTTCCAGTAGGCATAAGATGGAATGCTGGCTTTCTTTGCAGGTGGAATATGGGTCTGTTAACAAGTGCTGAATTACAGGCAAGGTTTGGAAATGGCATTGGAAAGATTCTTGGCATTGGAAAGATGTTCTTGGTGTTTTGGTTATTTGGCCCAAGAGATTGGTTTCTTCTGAAAGTGATGAAGTTACTGCTCGTTTCTCTGTGGATGGAATTACCCAGTGTGTTGACAACATTTGTTCTTCCTTCTCAATGTTGTTCAGAGTTTCTAGGTCATTTTTAAGCTTTGGATGTTTGCCCTCATGCTATGTGCCATTGAATTTTACAAGTATAAAGAGGGATCTGTCTTGCAGACTGAGGGGTTCAGGCAGGATTTGGTTTGGTATTAGATAATGTTGCAGAGAATCCTAGTTTATCATGGACCCGCTTTGTCTTCAGAAGCTGTGGTTCTTTATAGTGTTTTGTTTTCACAGACACTTCTTCACTTCTGGTTTGTCTCTGTGGCTGATGATCCTGGTCGGTGGCTGAAATATGCCCCCACGGCCCCATTTCCACAGTGGGGGCATCTCATGGATGCGAGCACACCTTCAGCAGCTGAGGCTGTTAGGAGGAGAGGCTGAGCTTGCCTCCCTGCTTCACTTTTCATTGCTCTCGGCCCCCTTTCCAGGGAGGAGGCACCTAAGCGTTGGTTCAGGCTACCCAGACTCCAGAGCTAGACTTCTCAGGTTCAAACCCTGATTCTGCACTGACCAGCTGTGTGACCTCGAACAGGGTCCTTACTATCTTTATGACTCTATTTCCTCTTCTGAAAAATGGGTATACCTCACCAAGTTGTTATCAGCTCCAAACGAGATGGTTTATGTAGAATAGCTTACATGACATTTGACACAGAGTAAGTTGTCCATCAGGGATGAAACAAGTTCTCTTTCCTGCTGCAAGGTTCTTGTTGCTTCGGAGAGTTGCAAAACAGGCCCTTCACTGAAGGAAAAGACAAGATCTCTAGGCTCAGGCTGTTTTTTATTGTCTTCTCGACTTTCTTATTAGATGAAAGTTGCTTTAATTCTTGGAGGTTCAAATAATGAAAATCAGAGCCCTAGCCTGAACTAGACATTATTAGTCTGCCTCCACAGCTTATCATTATTTTTAACATCTCCTTGTTCTAAAGTCGTTCTAACAGTGTTATAGTTTGCATCAAGAAAACCTCCCCTGTTTTGGTTAGGGTCCTGGCAGGAAGCAGATGGTGCCCTAAAAATGTTTATCTGGAGAGAGCTTAATGAAGAGACCACCTACAGAGGAAGCAAGTGCTGAAATCATAGAAGAGGGGCTGCCCAACAGGAGCTATGGTGACAGAAAGGACAAAGCCACTGTAGAGATTTGACCAAGCAGGGAGATAGGGAAGAATAAATTCCCAGATCTGGTGCTGGTGTTTCCAACTGGCAGATCCTAGCCTGAGGCCAAAGGGCATGAAGCCCTGGGGAAGCAGCCCATAGAGGTCAGTCACCAGAGCAGATAGAATGGATCTGAGGTTGCAAGTGGGGAACAGGTATGTTGGAATAGCCAGCACACGTGGTCCTCATGAGGAACTAACTGGTCCCTACACCAGAGTTTATACCAGAGACTCAAAGGCAAATCTGGGACTGGAGAATGAGGAGGGGTGCTCTTATTCAACAAGAGGCAGTTTCCATGGCTACAGGGAGGGTAGAGGCATGGCTTTTTGGTAACCATCCTGTTTTTTGTTTGTTTGAGGCAGAGTCTCACTCTGTCACCCAGGCTGGAGTCTCATGGTGCAATCTCGGCTCACTGCAACGTCTTGCCTCCCAGGTTCAAGTGATTTTCCTGCCTCAGCCTCCCGAGTAGCTGGGATTACAGGTGTGTGCCACCACGCCTGGCTAATTTTTGTATTTTTAGTAGAGACACCATTTCGCCATGTTGGTCAGGCTGATCTCAAACTCCTGACCTCAGGTGATCCGCCTGCCTTGGCCTCTCAAAGTGCTAGGATTACAGGTGTGAGCCACCACACCCAGCCCCATCCTCTTTTACAGTAATAATAGTTATAGATAGCATTTACTGAGTGTCTGCTGTGTGCCAGCGTATGAGGTGTATGATCTCTGGCTTTCACAGCAGTCCTGCGAGGCTGGTGTCATTCTCCCCATTTCCTAGTTGACACTGAGTCTGAGAAAGGTAAAGCAACTTGTTAAGAGAACACCGCTGAGAAATGGATGACCTGAATTTCAGTGAAACTTCTAAACCCTTTTCCAGCCAGTTCCCAAACCTGGCAGTGCCTCAAGTCACCGTAGTTAATTTATTTGCTATGTTACCCCCCAGACTTTCTGTACAGATGTGGATAGAGGATGCATACGAGCATATATACAAGGGATTTAAAACAAGATGTGTAGCAGGCAGAGCTTGAGGATAAAGTTCATATGTCCTTAACAGATATGCATGCTTACAGATAACTGTTGTGTGCCCACAGTATTATGTTCTGTAAACAAGTTGCTGGACATTTTACTTTGAAATCTCCCTATTCTTTAGTAATCAAGCTAGGACCCAGGATGGCCCAGGTGCTAGGGAATGCTTCCATCTGCTTTGATGACACAGTCTTCCTTCACATCTCACCTCCATCTGCCCTCCAGGCCCAGAGGTGACAGGTGGTATATCTCCATGAGCCTGGGAAAGGAGAGGCAGTGAAGTGAGTCCTCAGAGAGCAGCTCCGCAGGCCGTGGAGACAGTGTCTGGATGCATCCTGAGCTGTGGTAACCCATGAGGCTCTTCCTGAACATCCTGACGTGTGCAAATAGGGTAGAGTTCTGGCTTTGAAAAGTCTTTGACTCGTCCTGGGTCCCAGAATAGAAGGAGGACAAGGAAAGACAAAGTTTAGGAGAATGAACAAGTATTTTTCAACCTGTGACATTTCTCCATTTACTCCAGTAGCAGGGAATTTAAAAATGCTTTCAGTTGTCCAGGCGTGGTGGCTCGTGCCTGTATTCCAAGCACTTTGGGAGGCTGAGGTGGGTGGATCACTTGAAGCTAGGAGTTTGAGACCAGCTTAACCAACATGGTGAAACCCCATCTCTACTAAAAATACAAAAATTAGCTGGGCGTGGTGGTGTGCCTGTAATTGCAGCTCCTTGGGAAGCTGAGGCAGGAGAATCGCTTGAACCCGGGAGGCGGAGGCTGCAGTGAGCCGAGATCGCGCCACCGAACTCCAGCCTGGGTGACAGAGTGAGACTTGGTCTCAAAAAAAAAAAAAAAAAAAAAAGGAAGAAAAAAATGCTTTCAGTTGAGCTATTGAGAGCTCCTCCAGCCAGGTGATGCCCTGCCTTCTGCCTGGCACCAGGCTTGTGGCAGTGCCAACCTCTAGGAGTGCCCTGCTTTGAGGCTGGGTGGTTCTGGTTGGGGAAACTGAATCCCCCTGGGGTTATGGCGCAGATTCCCATCAGTCTGTCCTCCAGGTAAGTCATTTCTTCAGAGCTTTACTTACTTATTTGTAAAATGGAACTGAGCAATCCTGCTCAGTCAGGGTGACAGGGTATATATGAATGTATGAATGTGTTTTGTACAGTGCAAAGTGCTGTAGGAATAAAAAATTCTTAATTTAATATCTCTTTGCCTCATTTCCATTTGATATGGGACATAAGGATAATGACTGTCCACTCCTCTGTTACCCCCAAAGAGAGCTGTTACCCAGACTATAGCATGTGGAATGAGATCTGAGAAGGGCTTTGCATTTCTCAGTAGCAAGCGGTAAATACAGAGATGCTGTGGGGAGTTCGGTATGACTGGTTTCTGTGCTTGGGGAACCTTGGGAGGAACTGCCTTGGGGAGATGTTTGTCATTGTCCCCTCCTCCCGTGCCCTTTAGCATTGCAGAGGGTGATAGAGGGTGAAGAGCTCCTTGGAATTGCAGCCTCATCTGGCGCTCCGTCAGCTGAGCCGGGCTCTTCCTGGTGAGAGCACGGTGTGTCAGGGTAAGCACTGGGCACCTCATGTTCTGTGAGTCACCTCTTGTTTGGAGAGGGATTACGGTGCTCTGGGCCCAGCCTATTTGCCTTGGCCCCCTTGCTTGGTAGTGGGCGGCCGAGAGCAGAGCGACAGCCTCCTCCCCGTCACTGCGGCAGACTTCTGCATGGATGTGGCAGCCCCGCAGGGCCATGTAATTCCCAGCGTAATCGTGGAGGGGAAGACTCTGTGATCAGCCTACACTTTCTTCTCATTTTCTCACCAAGGGGATAATTAGTAGGAAGGCAAACAAATCCCCTCAGCTTGGTTAAATCACAGGGTGCGGGGGGCAGAGCTGGAGAGTAGTGTTGATGTTAGCTCTGAGGTCTACTCTCAAGAGCAGATGGCAGGAGAAGACCCCAAACAACATTTCACTCCGCTCTTACCTCTCATCTCCACAGGGGTCTCCTTTGTCTAGACAAGGTGGGCACACCCTGCCATTTTCCCCAGTCAGGGTAGCTC